AAAAAACAAACAAAAAAAAACAATCCTTAATTATGTGGTTTGAAAATAAAAGTCCCAAATAAAGTATCTTTAATTATGGGTGTTGTAAATACAAGTAAGTTGAGCCCCAATTTCTAATAAACTACTTTAATTATGAGGGTTGAACATACATGTAACGTAGCCCTAATCTCCAATAAACTACCCATAACTATAGAAGGTAAAAACATGTAATAACACGTAACCACGTATAAACTACCTTTATCTGTAGAGGAGAAAACACTAATAACACATGACTACCAATAAACTACCCTGAAACTTTGGGGTTGAAAATACTAATGAAATGGGCCCTAAGACCCCAAAACTATCTATAATTGAAGAGGGTTAAAATACTAGTAATATAGGCTCTAACACCCCCCTCCTCTAAAAAAACAAAAACACACCAACAAGACAAAACAAACAACAACCTATAATTGTGTGGAATTGAAAATACAAGTAACTTGGGTCCTAGTTCTCAATAAACTACCTTTAACTATAGAGGCAAAAAATGCTAATAACAGTGCCTTAAGCATCATTAAACAATCTTTAACTTCAGTGAAAAAACACATTAAAAACGCTAGTCTTAATTCTCATTCAGCTACCTTTAATTATGGATGTTGAAAATACAAGCAACTCGGATCCTGATCTTCAGAAAATTATCATTAACTGTAGAGGATGCAAATACTAATATCATTTAACGACCAATAAACTACTTTTAACTACAGTGGATAAAAATACAAAAAATCAAGGGCCTAAAACCCCAAACCTCTAATTATGGGTGTTGAAAATACAAGCAACTCGGATCCTGATCTTCAGAAAATTATCATTAACTGTAGAGGATGCAAATACTAATATCATTTAACGACCAATAAACTACTTTTAACTACAGTGGATAAAAATACAAAAAACAAGGGCCTAAAACCCCAAACCTTTAATTGAGGGGGTTGACAATACAAGTAACTAAAGCCATAATCCCCAACAAACCACCTTTAATTGTGAAGGAAGGTAATATCACGAGCCATAACCCACAATAAATCATCTTTAATTGTGAGTGTTGGAAAAAACAAACAAACACAAAAAACACTACTCTTAGTCCCTAATAAAGTACCCGTAAGAGTGAGGAATTTAAATACTAATAACATAATAACAATGACACTTTAACTGTTGGGGATACGGGTATCTTCGTCAATATTTTACAACATAAAAAAATCTATCTCTCTAAACATAAGGTATAACGTATTTTTACATAGTATAACGTAATGAAGATAGTTTTAGAAATAAATCATCAAGGAGGCAATTTTGTATGAGATCTATCAAACAAAACGATCATGATTGGTAATGCACGCTGGAGGTAATACGTCATGTCACGTGAGTTGTGGCGAGGAGACGTCATTTTCTGACATTCTACTTTCATTGGACGAATTTCTCTCCTATTGTTTGTCACGTTCGCTTTATCAGGTCAGAATCAGATCAATTTGGACCCGATAGCTCATCAGACTTGAAGCAAATAGAATCGAATGTAGACTAAAAAAATCAAGCCAATAAAGAAAGGGAGGTTATTGACGTCAGACAGCAAGATCCGGTGTCACCTGCATTTAAGTACTGTATAGATTTAGACCAAGAATAAAATAGACAGTTTAGGGTTATAAAAAAGTAGATAAAAAAGCGTATATGCTAACATATGATTCTCTAACAGTAAATGCACTAAACAAAAACAAAACAACAACAATATATTTATTTATTAGAAAATCAAATTAATAATATACCCATTTATTAAAAATACCAAAGATCTAAACCAAATAACAACGTGACCACTTACAAAAGATGTAAGCAAACTAGTGATATATCTATTTTATACAGGTCTGAAGAGCGTCTAAGTATACCAATAAGAATTGTATGAATTGTAATAATCTAGATTAGATTACCAAAGATAAAATCGAGCGGTTTTCCCTATTCATTAGAGTATCATCAAACTATAAAAACGAAGTCGTAAGCTCTAGTACGTTATGCAGTAATTACATGTCGTTTGAAAGTTACTTATTTTGTTCTTGAAAAGGAAGACACCTGCAGAACTAGAAAGACAGAGAAAACTATTGCTCGTTCTATTTATATTTGGAAAAATCTTATATTTTTCATAGTTAGAAAACTCCGCTATGCTAGTTAATGAACTTAAGCAAGAGCACATACAAGAGAACTGAAATCTCACCCTTTCACTGATTCTGTCCTAGGTTTCTATGTTTTTTGCAATGAAATTACAATCACCATTTTTGTAAACATATTTTCTTTAAAATGATTAATTATAATGTTTAAAAATAACTCTTAAATATATATATTGTTTGTTACGGATTTCGCGCAAAGCTACACGAGGGCTATCTGCGCTAGCCGTCCCTAATTTAGCAGTGTTAGACTAGAGGGAAGGCAGGTAGTCATCACCACCCACCGCTAACTCTTGGGCTACTCTTTTACCAACGAATAGTTGGATTGATCGTTACATTATAACGCCCCCGCGCCTGAAAGGGCGAGCATGTTTGGTGTGACGGGGATTTGAACTCGCGACCCACAGATTGCGAGTCGAACGCCCTAACCACCTGACCATGCCAGGCCTAAATATATATACTATTCTGACTTTGATTAGTAATGTTTTTATTATTTTACATTGTTAGCTTAGTGTTTAGATTAAAGATTAACTTAAGTTATCTATGCTGGTCGAACTGTTTTATATATTATTAGGATTACGGCCGAAAATGTTGTCAGAAATGAGGATACTCAATTGATGATTTGGCACATTTTGTTGTTCATAGGTTTTAGTTTTATTATGTATCGATTTATAACATTACGCATTTTTAGACAGTTTCTTATACAGGATTAGCGTTATTATTATATAAGTCACTTTTTTAGTTCTGATCTACATAGCGTAGTTTGATCAGAAGTTTGATAAGCTCTTTTTTCGTCGGAAAATTGCTTGAGAGTATAAACACTTTTATAAAAGCATTTAAAGAAAAACTGACGTGAAATATCTTAATATTGTATGTGTTTATAATGCTTTACAGGGTTTAATATTTTTATATATATTTTTTAAATATTGTGAATTTGAAGAACGTCAACACTTGCCTGAAGATCATTCATGAGTACTCTTATCAAGGCGACAAAATAACTTTCAGTTGACATAAAAAACCTAATCTGACTTGCTTTGATTTGAGTAATAATGAGGACAGATATGATTCAATGTACCCATCCATGCTTTAAGCATTAGTAGTGGAAAAGGTGCCTGTTACCACGGCATTTCTTGTCGATTATATGTGTGATTCTGTTTCAGAGGAGAAGGATTTGGTTATTTCTAACGGTTTTCTTGTCTTGTAATAAGTTTTGTGTATGTGCTTGAGTTCCAGGAAAGAGGGACTTATATGTTTTCAGTGTATTTCTTGCAGATTTTAAGCCTTTATCCTGTGACTGAGTTCTAGAAAATATGACATGGGTATTTACACAGTATTACTTGTTCAATTCTAGGTTGTTGTTTTTTTATTATGATAGACGTTTTTTCTTTTCATTGTAATGCTTTTAGCCATTATTTCCATGGTTGTGTTCTAAAAGAGGAGGGCATGTTCCCACTGATTTTTTGTTGTGTTCTAAGGCGTTTACTTTTATTGTGTTCCACGAAAAGAATGTCTGTTCACACTGATTTTATTATAGTGTTCTAATTATTTTTCTTGTTGATTGACTTCCTCTTTCATGATGCTGTTCTAAGCCTTTTTTTCCTGCAACTGATTCCAGGAGAGGAGTGCGTGCTATCACTGATTTTCTTGTAATAATATTCTAAGCCTTTTCTCTATTGATTGACTTCTTTTTCATCATAGTGTTCTAAGCCTCTTTTCCTGCAACTGATTCTAGGAGAGGAGGGTGTGCTATCACTGATTTTCTTGTAATGGTGTTCTAAGCCTTTTTCCTATTGACTGACTTCTTTTTTCATTATAGTGTTCTATGCCATTCTTTCATGTGATTGATTCCAGGAGAGAGTGTGTGCGATCACTGATTTTCTTGTAATAATGTTCTAAGCCTTTTTCCTATTAATTGACTTCTTTCATTTTACTATTTTTTTCGCTGTAATTGAGTTATAAGAGAGGAGAACCTTTTCACACTGATTTTTGTAATGTTCCAAGCCTTTTTTTTTCTTATTGGTTGAGTTTCAGAAGAGGAGGAGCCTTATACAGCATGTTACCTCTAAGTGTTTTCCCATGTATGAGTACATCTGAGAACCAAATCAGTAGATTTTGTTTTTTAAATGCTACCTAAGTACATTTGTTGTTTTAATTCCGGACTATTTTTCTAGAATAATCTTTATTAATTAATTGGTTACAAAAGCTTCTTTGAAGTGTTAAATTATTTTTCTGTACATAAAGATATCAGTTTTTGATAACGTATTATTTATTTTCGAAAATATGAATGAGAAAAACTGTTTTTTTTTGGGGGGGGGACGGAGGGAGGGAGTGAGCTTGAAAGGAAAAAGTGCACAAGCAACTTGTTTAGAGATTTTGTCTTTTCTTGTCACAATAATCTACTTCTTCTTTCAAAAGATTGATTTCATTACAGGATTTGAAACAACAAAACTGATTATTTCAGCACATTAGGGTGTGTGCATTAGCACTGTATAATTTCGGTACCCATGTGCTAACGTATACAGACATATATGTATGTATATATATAAATAGGTGCATGCTTATATATTATACACGTAAAAGTTATTAAGAGATACGTTATAGCTAACAACCATGCTGAAAGTCGTGGGTCTCCTATTCCAGTGCAAGCTGTATTTACCGTCCCTAGAAGACAATAAAATCTGGTCCCAGGGAACCGTGTCCAGCTGTTACCCTGCGCCCCTGACCATGCGCCAGCTGACGTCGTCCTTGCAGAGGAAGCAAAGAGAATAATTAGGATCACGCGCTGTGCGTCGCGTGCTCAGACTAGGCTTGCTTGTAGACAACAGAAGAGTAGCTCGTGAGGGTGCGAGCAACGCGAACTGGTACATTTGTTGATGATAGCTGACCTAATAGCCAAGCAGACATTTGAAACTGTAAGGACCAGCCAAGTGTGGCAATCCATATGACCGGCGGAGGGCGGGGACACTTCGCTAGGACGGAGCCGCCAAATCGTGGTAGATGCTGCCAAAAATCGACCACGGAAAACCTGTGGAGTAGACTCGCTAGCTGAAATCCAAAAGCGTCATTCTCTACAGCACACATACAGAGATAGAGCTCAGTCAGTGGGTTTACGGTGTTTCAGCAACTGCTGTCTACGGAAGTTCTCTCCTGTTGCTGGTCGGTTGAATTTGTTAACCCTAACGACCATAGGCTGTGTTTGGGTACTGGTCAATATGCCGCGGTCATTTTTAGTTAAAAAAGTGAAGCACCTTATCGACTATTCATACCGATGGGAGGAACGAGAACCCCCCAGCCCCACAGAGGCAGCCCCAGCACCTAGCCCTCCGCCTCTCGTCATTCCACTTGGTAAAGGTAAGAGTTGCTTTCAGTATTAATTACCAGCTTTGTGGTAAGAACTGCTTTAAGTATTAATTACCAGCTTCATGGTAAGAGCTGCTTTAAGTATTAATTACCAGCTTCATGGTAAGAGCTGCTTTAAGTATTAATTACCAGCTTCATGGTAAGAACTGCTTTAAGTATTAATTACCAGCTTCATGGTAAGAACTGCTTTGCACTGAGTTTGTAGACCGTGCGCTTTGTTAAAACCAGGTGTTAGTCTGAATGCGTTGTTTACTTATTAAGTACCGAACTTCATATTTCAGTACCGTTGTTAACTCGTGTTTTTCGTTATGTTGTTTTAGTTGCTTCTGGTTTAGTCTTTACTACTCACTGAAACATATAAACCTTATCTTTTGTACTTCTGTTAACACATGGTTGCTCATATCCACTTGCGCGATCCAATGAGTTATTAATAATAATTTGTTTGCGACGGTAGATCAAAGGTTAAGTCAACAATGAAAATATTTCTCTCTTTACAGTAATAAAAGGAAGGACAAGCTGCGATTTCATTTCATGTCATAAATTGCAAATACGCGAACATTTTTTTGTTTAAAAATAATAGTGTCGTCTTGACATTTAAACATCACAATGACTTAGGCGGAACTCTGCTTTGATTAAAATGAATTATTTTAAAACGTTTCTAAAAATAGCGTACTTTAGTGAATCTGTACAATTTTTCATGCATCTTTTAATTAAATAGTTTAGTTTTCAACCTCATTAAATTTACTGTACATGTGTAAGTCTTGTCTTAATCTACTGTGGTACTTAGCGTTGTAAGCTAAACAAAAATATTTTAGCCCGAACCCATCTTTTGTGGATTCTCTTTTGATGGCACTCCTTAAGATAATGGCTTCATCCTTGTTTGGTATCTTATGGAAAGATTAGATCTAACAGTGAGATTGGTGCGATTTCTGCGGAGTGATACATGACTTCACAGTAAACCTTTAACGGTGAATATAGTGTAAGCTAACCAGTGAAAGGCTGCTGAATTACAAACAGTCGCATGTTGTTATTTCGGGAGAAAATATAGTTGTCTTAATTTACTGTTTGATAGATCACTGAAATAAAAACGACAAGTTACTTCTTTAGGTAATTAAGCAGAATCATAAAGTTTTTGATACGGGAATATTCGATAAAAGAAAGGGCGTCCACTTCTCTTCACAGAATACACATTCTAAACACTGCAAGTTTGATATCATTACTGTCCACAACGAAACATTTACCGTAAACGTACAGAAACAAAATTATACTCAAGCTAAGCTAATCGTATATGTTATCTAGAAGCCTGAAATACTCAGTGTTCGTGACTCACTTTGTTTCGAGCAGCGTTTACTACGTCAGTCTTTTGTACAAGTTCGATTTGAGGGTCTTCCACTTGTTGATAGCCGCAGGCTGGCGCCGGCCATATTGAAATTGCTTGTTTTCACAGACGTTCGCGTTACGTAATGACGTGAACATTTCTGTACCTAATCTATTTCTTGATGTTCCATATACATTCACGTTTATAGCGCTTGCAATAATAAACCAAGTAACATTCACTTATTTTAGATTGTTTTCCTGTTACAAGAATTACGTTTTCATTGAGGGCACTAAATAATGATGAAAGTAACCCAGAAAATAAGTTTAAAACCTTTAGCTCTATCGATGGAAACGTGATGAAAAAAGGACCATTGGATTTATTTTCTTATAGCCAGTTATGGAGTATCTTCTACGTATTTTTGTACTTTTTTCTTTTTAAATGATATATTATTTCGGTACATCCAGATATATAAGTATTTATACAAAAATTAATATTTAAAATACTGTGCACAGTGAAATATTCTAATAATTTCGCATCTAATCTCTGGAACAATAATTTCTTATCAATAATGTACCGAACACTATTGATTTTACAAAAGCTTTCATCCAAGTTTAACGTCACTAAGAAGCAGAGAAAGCTCTAACATAAAGTATTACTGTCTGCCTATTGACTCATTTTTGATTTTTATTCGTTCATATAAAAAAAAAACAGTTTGGGAAATTTCATTCATATTAGATGTTTACTAAAATCCTTGTTTATTTAATAAGATTGAAATTTAATATACTTGCAACTGAAAAACACGTTCTATTTTTGACACTGAAACTGTGACATGTCATCGACACTAATTCCCCTGAAATTGGAAGCTAAAAATAAGTACCACTGAAGATTCTAGATAAAATATGTTTTTTTTTGTGTGTGTTAGGTTTCTGCTATAAGCCAACATTAGTTCTCAGAGCAGATTTGCTTCTCTGTTTTGTAACATTTACTTAGGATTTCAGACATTTTCCACAATGATTCTATTCAAGTTAAATATAATAAAACAATTAAACACATTGTCGTCAAAATAAAATATTTCGGATGAACTTGAAAGAAATGTTTTTCCTCACAAGAAAACTTAGTAATTATCACCACATTTCATATAACAACAGGTTCTAGTTATTATACTTCCTTTCAAATAACGACAGGCTCTAGTTATTATACTTCCTTTCAAATAACAACAGGTTCTAGTTATTATACTTCCTTTCAAATAACAACAGGTTCTAGTTATTATACTTCCTTTCAAATAACAA